CTAAACCCAAGCCCTAAGCCCTAAGCCCTAAGCCCTAAGCCCTAAGCCCTAAGCCCTAAACCCTAAACTCCACCAGGAGCCTCCTGCAGTGAGATCTTAGAGCCTTCAAGCCATGGCCTTGGAGCTCCTGCTTGCCCATGTAGCTTCATCGGCACCCAATCGTTTAGGGATTAGGGTTTGGGATTTAGGGTTTAGGGTTTAGGATTTAGGGTTTAGGGTTTAGGGTTTGGGGTTTAGGGCAAGCAGCAACGCCCTCCTATTTATGTCACTAAACCTTCTACCCTAACCCTAAAGCCTAAAACCTAGAGCCTAAAGCCTAAACCCTAAGCCGTGGAACCGTCAAGCCTGGAGTCTCCACCCCCAAACCCTCAACTTCCCAAAAGACCCGCAGGGTTTAGGGCTTAGGGTTTGGGGGTTTAGGGTTTAGGGTTTAGGGACTTCCCTAAAGGCCTGATTCTAGGAACCCTCAAAGGGAACCCTGTTATAGACCCCCATAGTACCCCTTCAAAGGGAACCCTGTTATATATATATATATATATATAGACCCTCATAGCCTTATAGTACACCCTTCAAGGGAACCCTATTAAAACAAAACATCGACATTAGCGGGACCCTGTTATAGCACCCTGAAGCGGAACCCTCTCAAAAGGAACTCCAAGAAGATCTCCTTAAAATAGCCCTAAACCCTATCAAGGGGAGAGCTCAAAGGAATCTAAGGACCCTTGCTATCGGAACCCTCAAAAGATGCCTTGAAAAAGAACCCTTTAAAGGGACCCCGAAAGGATCCCTGAACAAAAACAACGCTTTTAAAGGAACCCTTAAAGGATCAACGCTTTTAAAGGAACCCTTTCAAGCAACCCTTGAAGAATCCCTTAAACAGAAGCCTTTCAAGGAGCCCTTAAAAGAACCCCAAAATGATCCCTTCAAGGATCCCCCAAAGGAACCCTAACGGGATCCTTGTCGGGCCTTTGAGAGTTCCTTTACGGCTGGTGTAGGGGCCCTTCGAGGATCCCCTAAAGTACCCCTTAAATCCTAAACCTCTAAACCCTAAACCCCTAAAACCCCTAAAACCCCTAAAACCCCCTAAATCCCCTAAATCCCCTAAAACCATAAAACCCTAAACCCTAACCCCTAAAAACCCCTAAGACCCCTTTCAAGAGAATCCTTCAAGGCCCGTCCCGTTGCCTCATGGCCGCCCGGCCCGCCCGGGCCGCCGCGTCATCCACGCGACCACCTGACGTCTCTTACGGTTTAGAGTTTAGGGTTTAGGGTTTAGGGCTTAGGGTTTTTTAAGTTTGGGGTTAGGGTTTAGGGGTTTGGGGTTTCGGGCTTTTTAAGTTTGGGGTTTTAGGGGTTTGGGGTTTAGGGTGTGTTTAAGTTTGGGGTTTAGGGTTTAGGGGTTTGGGGTTCAGGTCTCAGGGGTTTTTAGGGGTTTTGAAGCCCTTGGGGCTTAGGGGTGTTAGGGCTTAGGGATTTCTTAGGGGGGTTTTAAGGGGTTTAGGGTTCGGGGTTTAGGGTTTAGAGATTGTGGAGGGTTCAGGGCTTTGGGATTTCTTAGGGGGGGGTTGAGGGTTTTGGGGTTCAGGGTTTAGGGTTTAGAGTTTAGGGCTTAAGGGGTTTTAAGGGGTTTAGGGTTCAGGGTTTAGGGTTCAGGGTCTAGAGTTTAGGGCTTTGGGATTTCTTAGGGGGTTTAGGGTTTTGGGGTTCAGGGTTTAGGGCTTAGAGTTTAGGGCTTAGGGGGTTTTAAGGTTTCAGGGTTCAGTTTTTAGAGTTTAGGGCTCAGGGATTTTTGGGGGCTTTAAAGTTTCAGGGCTTAGGGCTCAGGGTTTTAAGGTTTAGGGCTCAGGGTCTGGACCTTAAGGTTTGTGGATTTTAAGGGCTTAGGGCTTTAAGTACTTTAAGGGTCAGGGTTTGTTTTTTTTTTTTTGTGGGATTTTGAGGGTTTAGGAATTTAATGGGTTTTAGGAGTTTAAGGTCTTGGGATTTTAAGAGTTTAAGGTTTAGAGGTGTCAGCGTTTGAGGCTTTAAGGGTTTAGCGGTTAGGGTTTTAGAGTTTAGGGGGTTAGGGTTTAGGAGGTTTGCGGGTCTAGTGTTTAGGGTTTAAGTCGTTTAAACTCCCTTCCTGGAGTTTTAGGTTCTGGGTTTTAACAAGGCCCTAAACCCTAAACCCTACACCCTAAACCACTAAAGGCTTCTTAGGTTTCTTTGGGGGCCTCCACTGCAGGCCTCGAATTCCTTGGACGTCGCCGTTGCCTTCATCTGCTCCACGGAACTCCCCAAACTTCCTTGCAGGTGCAGATCCCTAACCCCCCAGGTACCTACTATATAGGACCCTAGGGGCTCCAGTACGCTATATAGTAGGTACCTGGGAGGTTAGGGTTTTTCGGCTGAAGTCTCTGGTTTTATGGTTGAGGGTTTATGGTTTAGGCCTACCCAACTTAAGTTTCATTGAGAGTGGCGTCGTGGCTTTTAATGTCAGCCGAAGCAGTACGGCTTTGACATCGTGACGGTGCTGACTGTACCGGCCACTGGCAGGATGATTGTGATGATGATTGCAGAGCACCCTTGCGCAGCTTGATGTGTGCCGGCCACTGAACCTGAACCTTCGTATTAGCCACCGGAGGGCATCCGTAGCCCCAAAGCCCGCAAACCCTGGGCAAACCCAAAGAAGCTCCTCAAAAACACACCAGAAGAAACGAGCCACGACTGACAAACAATTCTAAAGAAGCTCCTGAATAGAAAGCCGGGATGCTTGAACCATGGCATTCCGAATCGAACGACCTTAGTTAGCTCCGCGAGTGCGCAGGATGGTTTTAGGTCTTGGGAAGTTCCAAGTCTTCATGGTCACATAGAGTTGGTTTGGGGTTTAACGTTTAGGGTTTAGGGTATAGGGTGCAAAATCGGTAATAGCAACCGTCATCTTATACATGTGTTTTTGACTTTGCTCTCCAAGCGCGGAATATTCTGTTCATAACTATAGGCAATGAGGATATGCATATGGCTTGGCATGCATATACACTTGTACATATATATATATATATATATATATATATCTGTGTGTGTTGTATATTTCTTCATTTGTGTGTGTGTATATATATATATGTATAGATGTCCGTCTACATGTAGAATATCTATCTTGCTTGTCACTAGCCTACAGTTACAAGAACGGAAAGGCTTGGTTGAGTCTACCTGTCAGACTCTGTCGCGAGGTGCGGCCACGGAAGGTCACACGGTACCTTGTTGTCTCGCGTTTAGATTTACAACCCTGGTTCCAAACCCCCAAAACCTACAACCCTAAACCCTAAACCCTAAACCCAAAACCCAAAACCCCAAACCCCAAACCCAAAACCCTAAACTCTAAAACCTACAACCCTACAGTCTAAACCCTAAGTCCCGAAGCTGTAGGATCATCGCGATCTTGAGGCGGCCGTCGTCAGATGCGGCCTGGCGGGATCCACAGGGAGAGTTTCACAAACAGAAGTAGGATTTAGAGTATTTAGGGTATTTAGGGTTTAGGGTATTTAGGATTTAGGGTTTAGGGTTTAGGGTTTAGAATTAAGCTGCAGGGCTTGGGGTTTGGGGTTTAGGGATAGTTAGAGAAGAGAAGCCAAACCTATGAACCGAGAGACAGCTAGACGGGCAGGTTAGATAGATAGCTAGATAGATAGATAGATAGATAGATAGATAGATAGATAGGCAGATAAGATAGATAGATAGGTAGCTAGATCGCATCTTCGGTTCGAGGCTTTGGTTTCGGATTGTCGCATCCTCATCTCGAAGTTAGTTTCAGTCATGAGCCTCAGGGCTTGCAGCAGGGGCTTCAAAAATGCCCAAAACCCTAAACCCTAATCCCTAAACCCTAAACCCTAATCCCTGAACCCTAAACCCTAATCCCTAAACCCTAATCCCTGAATCCTAAGCTCTAATCCCTAATCCCGAAAACCTACGCCCTAACCCCTAGAAACCATAAATCCTAAATCCTAAGTGTAGCCCCAAACCCTCAAACTCATAAGCTCGAAGCCGTAAACAAGTCCTAAACTAGCCTGCTTGAACTTACCCCCCCCGACAAAACCGCAAAACTAAAAAGTTCAAACTTTCAGAATAACCCTTATCCCTAAACCCACAAGCAGAAGTCGAAAACGGGGTTTTGGAAACGAAGCGACGTCTCCGCACGAGGCCTCGAGGGACTGCATGGAAATGCCCTCTCCAGCAGGCTGCCTCAAACGGATTTCATGAGGGTTTCGGATTTTAGGTTTGGGGTTTAAGGTTTGAGGATTCGGGTTTAGGGTTTAAGGTTTCGGTGTTAAGGAACACCAGAGTATGTAGAAAAGTAGCCATCTTATGATTTTACCTACTTTTGGGGGTTTAGGTAGCGTTGAGGTGTTTAGGATTTTGGAGTTTCCTATGCCCTAAACCGAGTTTGGGGGTTTTAGGGGTTTCGGGCCTAGGTGCTTGTAAGGATTTCAAAGAGGGCTTGGGGCTCTCAGAAAGTTCCTGTCTTCAGGTGCTGACGGTACCCGAATGGAAGGGCCTTAATAATTAGAATAGGGCTTTAATTGGGGTATATTATAGCATGAGGCTTAGCATGAGTATAATCAGGAGCCCCCCAAGACACTATAGGAAATTATTTAGGCCCTTATACTACAGGTTTTAAATGAGGTGACTATACTTATTACAGTTATTTATAACACCAGTTAGGGCACTTATATCTCTACTTACTAAGTCCCATGATCCTTCAAGTCCCAACCCCATAAAGCCTGCCCGACCCTTCTGTTGGGCCTCCTTCTTTTGATTTCCTTATGTAAGCTCACAAGAAGGCCCCAGAACCCCATTACCCTATGACCCTAAACTGGGTCAGAAATTATCCCTGTTGGTGGGCTCGTGTCAATGGGGTTTAGGCTTAGGAGTTTAGTCCCCTACACTAGGCCCTACACCCCTAAAACCTCAACATAAACCAATAGAAACCGCTCTCAAACCCTAAAAGTCCCGAGAGAAACTTTCAAAAATAATCCAAGAAAACTCACAGAACGCCTTCAAACATAACCCTTGAAGCCCTTAGGAATCGTTTCATAAAGATCTCAGAAAACCCCAAACACAATCCCAAACCCTAGACGACCGCTGTGCAGCCCCAGAGGTTAGCCTAAAGGGATCGCCGCGAGTTAAGGCAAAGCCGCTCGAAGAAGTGATTCCAGGCATTGTTTGCGTACCTTTCCCCGCTTTAGGGCGTGGGGTCTTAAGTTTATCTTTCAGTTGGGGTTTGGGGTTTGTAGTTTAGGGTTGAGGATTCTTCATTTAAGGCATAATTTAGGGCGTAGTGTTTTTGTGGAGCGGGAGGGGGGGGGTGTTCAGGGCATAGGAATCCGGGCTCAGGGCGTTTACGGCGCGGGCTTTTGCTTTTGAGGGGTTTGTGGTTGAAGGCTCGGGGCCTCTAGGCGGTTTAGGGTTTAGGATTTAGGGTTGGGGGATGAGGGTTTAGGATTTAGAGTTTAGGGATGAGGGTCTAGGATTTGGGGTTGAGGGTTGAGGGTTTAGGGCTTGGTGCTTGTTTGTTATTTGAAGCAATTTAGGGTTCAGGTCTTCGGATGTGTTGTGTCTTTTTGGGGAGGGCTCTCAGGGTTTGGAGTTCGTGGCTTTGGTGCTGGCGGTTGCAGTGGTGGGTTGTGACGAGTAGCATTGTTTCTGTGGTTCAGGGCGCCTCTTGTGATTACGATTGCTATTCAACAACCATCCATGTTGTTACCTTTGTCAGCATTTTCAGCTTCATGGTCCACTATCTCCGCCGAAACCTACACCCCAAACCCTACAACCCTACAACCCTAAACCCTAAACCCTAAACCCTAAACCCTAAACCCTAACCCCTACAAACCTTAAAACCCACGGACAACGGACAATTCCGACCGCCTCTCGCCGCCGCCGTGCAAGAGGATCCGTGGGTCAGTCCAATCAATGAGGAGGTTTGTAGCCTTTCCAGGAGCCCCCTTCGGGGTTCCTTTAAGGGTTCCTTTATAGGGGTTCCTTTAAGGGTTCCTTTCGGCGTTCCTTTAAGGGTTCCTTTAGGGGTTCCTGTGAGGGATCCTTTAGGGGTTCTTGTAGGGGTTCCCTTGGGGGTTCCTTTAAGGGTTCCTTCAGGGTTCCTTTAGCTTTAGGGGCTCCTTTAAGGGTTCCTTCAAGGGCTCCTTTATGGGTTCCTGGAGGGGTTCCTTTAAGGGTTGTTGTAGGGGTTCCTTTGGGGGCTCCTTTAAGGGGTTGACTGCATTTCAACGACTGCAGGCACAACTTGCACTAAGAAGTCAAGGGGTCACAACCGTCACGACCTACTATACTTTGCAAAGCATTGGAACGCGGTGCGTAAGGGGGTGTAATTAACTTAAACTGAAGACAGACCAAGGCCATTGTAGTAACAATAATCCCAGAAAAGAAGCAGCGCGCAGGCCCGCCTGCGAAGACGCCGCCGCCTGACGAAGAGGTTAATTCCCATCGACTTTTGTGGATAATGATAAAGCCCGGAACCCAATCTCCAACCCTAAAACCTGAACCTCATCTAGAAAGGAACCTGAACCCGGCAACTGCCCTACATGAAGAAGACGTCCACGAGGGGTATCTTCGGGGGGGGGCCCGGGCCGGGAGCACGCTGAATGGGCTCGAAGGCTCTGCTTGGAAGACACCGGAGCATCAAGGCCCAATATGGGCACATAACGGACTTAAAATACGAGGAAGGATCCTGTCAGGACCTGTTTTCTTCTCAGACTGATATATATATATATATACAGAAAGAGAGAGAGAGAGAGAGAGATATATATATATATACCTAGAGGTTCCTATGTAGTTCC